GCAACTTTCTATAAAAGCAACCACAACTCTAATGGTGACAACTCACCAGCTCTGCCTTGGGAAGAAACATTGCCAGTTGGTGGCAGCATTCACACGAGAGGGTCATATTTCCTCTGTTATCTTTAGGCTGAATTTCAAAACAACTCTAGAAAACAGACTCAGAAGGCAAGCCTAGAAACAGTATGTGAACAACTGCAGAAAAGTGCAAGGTCTCTGACCATAATACAGTTGTACAAAACAGCAGAGTATCTAACAAAAAGCAAGCTGGCTCTCATCCCTGCTATTTACCTCCCAAGCAGTTAACGAAAACAGTGCGAGAACTTGCTCCTAGAGTCAACAGGGGAATCGAAGAACACAGGCTGATCCTTCCACCCTCATAACATTTGTACTCTGCACAAGGACACTCCCAGTCATCCGCACTGAGCAACCCCTTCCCTCTCCCAGAAAATATAGCTGTGTCATTTTAGAGACATTTTTAATGTCATCTGCTTATGATGTGCAGACTGAGAAGCAGACAATTTTGTTCTGCTTTGGCAGGAAAAAAAAAAAAGGAAAGTTTTAACTGGCAGCTAGAACATCAACAACAAGCAATACACAGGGCATCAATTTAGTCAAGAAAAATACTGGTATATCATATTACAGGGGCCAAGCGTTCCAAGGAAAAGTGATGGTCTAAGAAGAGGCTCTTGCATTTTTTTATATTTAGTAATATTATACAGTCATTAATATGTAATTTTCATTTCAATAATGGAAAGCCTTTTAGGGAAAAAAAAGTTTTTGTTGGTTTTTTTTAAATCTACAAATACATTCTCGAAATTCAAACACAACAAAATCCAGAGGTGCATTCATAAGAATTTTAAGTTCCTAACTGCAGTCACTTTTTAATTGGACATTTGTATGTTTATATTTCTCTAACATAGTTAGATTTAAAACAAAAATATTTTGAATATTTATTGGATTAACTGCATTTGTACTGACTACACAGTTTTTTAAACAGTATTAATTCAATACATACACTTTTCAGAAGAATTCTTATTTAAAAAGTTACAATAGTTTACCCAACCATATATGCATATTAAATAATCATTTATTTTAGAAAATTCTCCTCCTCAAATGAACATTTAGGAGACTATTTAATCAATATTTTTAATGAGCAGAACAAATACTAAAGTAGAAAGCCTTTACAATTTCCAAGGAACTGATATATTCCATTAACAAATCCTGGTTCTTTAAATGTTTGCAATACCACACACAGTAAATGATCCAAATAGCAGTTACATTCGCTCATGTAAATCATTCTGTTGCATGTACACAGAGTTAGCATGTTACAAAACTCTTGTGAAATTTCAGTTGAAACACATTAGCAAATAAATTTGTGCAGAAAAACATGCTGGTAAAGAAGTCCCCTTATAAACCCTAGATGAGGAAAAGTCTGTACATGGTACATTGATCAGAGAAAGGGGAATTTATCAAATGGGCTACTGAATAATATTATCTAATAAAGCAAAATATTATGAAATGTTGCCACTCCTTTTAAAGATTCAATATATCCTCTGACATAAACCTGTGAAGTTAGAATCTATACCTCTTAAGAGGTATACATTTTAAATTAAAAGCTATTCTAACTGGTTATATAGCATTCTATTTAACAATCTGCTGAGTCAGTTTTTAGATCGAGTTCACCTAAATACAAAATACTGGCAAACATTTACTGAATTAAGAATTAAAAAGAGAAATAGAGCCTCACAAGCAATGAAGTGTTATCTGCCTTTCTTCTCCTATCCATGTGTCTCTTACATGAAATAAGAAAGTTAATGATGCTCATTATTACTAGCAGTAGTAGTATTTGCATTGTGGACTTAGAACACATTTTTAATCTCTATGTTTTTATATATAATTGATTCCTTTATCAAAAGTAATTAAATTATTTCAGAAAGGACTTTTTCTTTTAATAATAGAATCATTATTGCATATGATTGTACGTTAAAAATAGAAAAAAACAAAAAACCTCCTTGCTAAAAGATATGGTCATTTGTTATCCCTGAAAGGAAAGAAAGCTTCCAGTGAAAGATCTTGGACCATGAGAAAAAATTTCATCAGGCTGTTTGCTGGCAACAGGCCACGCGGGCAGCACCCAGTCCTGCGTGCAGAGCACGTTGGCAGATGTTGTTAGTTGACTTTTGCTGAAAAAGTATGGAAGAACAGTTGGAAAATCACAAGGTGTAGAACAAGCTTTAAATAAATAAATAGCTTAACTGGCAATACAAAGGAGGAAAGAAAACAAGTTCCTTGGTTGAGAAAGAAGACTGGGATACTTCTAATTACAGAGTTTCTTACTGTTGGTTTGCTTCATGGGCTGATTGTTAATGAGAACTGAAATTGTACCTCCCACATTTCCATTTAGAGGTTCTAACCTCAGAATTACAATCAGTGTGCAGTGTGTTGTAGATTGGTCATTTGTATGATATGAGAATGCCACTGATAAGGTGATAATTTTTTGCCCTTCCCTCTTTGCCCCTAGCGTGGTAACTGAAAGAGGAAAGCATTAACTGTCAGCTTGGAGCTTCTGACACGTTACCTTAAAAATACCGGCATTTGACATTAACATGACCCTAAGAAAAAACAAACAAAAGAGATGACACTTGCTCACATCGCATTGGCACAGCAAGTAAATACTCAATACATGTATCAAAGTCTACTTTAGTAGCAAAAGTCAAAATAAGAAAAAAATGAAACAATTGCAAAATATACCTTCTCAAAAGAAACTATTGCATGATGCTGAGAAGAAGCCCCATTACCATCTGCTATTTAGGGTTATGGAACATCTAGGCAGGCCCACTTACATCCCTCATAAAGTGGGATGTAAATTATCACAAAGCCAACAAAATTGGGCCACATTTTCTTCAAGCTACAAGATAAGAATCCCTTCATCTTTCCTCTCTGTGTAGACATTTTGCTAGGCAACATTTGTTAACATAAAAAAAGCAATAGGATCTAAAAAGAACAGAAAACCAAAGCACAACGTTCAATAAAGGTGGTGCCCTCAACACACACACACACACACACACACACACACACACACACACATACACACACACACAGGTGCACACACTTAAACTGGCATTCCTTGAGGTATTATTTGTCTAAGGTACGGTTTAAAAATGGAAAATCAACTTTTCATCTCACTGAGGCAAATTTTATGATATTTGGCACACTGATCGTTCTTCCCAAATTTATGCTACTCATCAATAATCATAACTGTATACATGCTAAAAATAAAAATGCTATGATCTTAGTATTAGGGCTCTCCACACATAATATCGGCCAACATAATCTTATATAAATATGTTAAAATATAAATGTTATCCCTTCAAAAATTACAAATTTAAATAACTTTTTTAGATTTAAGATTTCATTACATTTAAAATAAATACTTTTATAAATTATAGGGGACATTCAAAGATAAACGTCCTGAACTTAATTTTAAAACACCAAGATTATATCAATAGTAAGATAAACGATTGTTGCAAATTATTTCATGAAGACATACAATTCAAAAAAAAAAAAATAGGCACGGTTTATTTTGTTTAACCCTCTTAGTTTCTGTAGGATCCGATCCGAGCTCAAAAAAAAACCCGCCCTCACCACCGTCACTTTGTCGTCTGGGAGATGTAACTGTATGGGTGCTTATTTGTCACCGACTTTGAAAGTCACAAAAGGCACGCAGATATAACAATTCGAAGCAGTTCTTCAAGGGCATCTTCAACTTGGCTGTCACCGCCCGGTACCGCGCCCGCAGGTGTGGGAGAGCCCACCCGCCGTCCTGGGGGCGCAGGGCGGTCTCGCCCAAGACCGGCCCCCGCGCGGAGACCCCGGCTCCCGGGCTGTTTACTTGCTGAGGCCCGCCCTCCTCCCGGTACTATGGAAACCGCATTTTTCTACGCCGGCTCGCCCTCCTTCTCTTTCTCCCATTACATCCCAAATACGATTTCAACTTCCCTAGAACCTGACAAGTGAATGGCGCTCATGACGCCCCGGAAAGAGCCCGCGACCGCGGGGTGCGGGGCGGGCGTCCCCGAGCGTGGGGGAACCCGAGGAGCGACCCGCGGCCGGCTTGGCTCGGGGTTCCGGGGCGCGCCGCCCGCGCCCCTCTCGCCCCACGTCTGTCCTTCCGAGAAAGGGCACGAAGCTGTTATCGATCCAGAGCGCACCGGTGACTAACGTGATGCTCGTAAACAACCGGCGGGCCGGGCACCCGGGAACCACCCAAGCGCAAACCAGGCGCGGGGGGGCGGCCGCGCGCCCACCCGAGCTCGGGAGCCGGACCTGCTCGCCGGAATGGGGGAGAAGACGGGGCGAGGCGACGGCCAAGTTCAATGCCCCTGCTTGCCCCCACGAAACCGCGGCGAGTGGGGCGGCGGCGGGGGCGCGGCGGGACCGGAGAGCGGTGCTGCCGCCCCCTCCTCGGCGCCCGGCCCCGGCCGCTGTCTCAGCTCGCGATCTCCGCCCGGCCCCGCCCCCATCAGTGTCCCCTCCCTACGCCCCCTCCCCGGCGGAAGCTCGGAGCCCAATTAATTGAGTCAAAGGCGGGAGGAAGGCCCTCCGCGCCGCGGCCCGCCCCCGCCCCTCCTCCGCGCCCCTTTTCCCGCCCCGGGTGGCATCTCCTCCGCCGGCATCCACAACGAGCCTCTGATTAATGAGGCTCGGCCCGGCCCCTACCCCTCCCGGGCCCCAGCCTGGGCCTCTGCAGGAGGGGGAGGGGACGGCGGGAAACGCGGCCCCGGGAGAAAGGGGGGCGGGGCGGGGGTGCGCGGCCCGCCCCCTCAGAGCCCCGCGCCTATTGGCCGCACGCGCCGTCCGTCGAGGGGCGCGGCGCCAATGCGGGCAGCGGGGCGGGGCGGCCGCGCCGTGTGTGCCTGCGTAACGCCGAGTCACATGTTGTTTTGCTCTTCTTAGTTCAGTCACTCGGTGCGCGATGTGTTACTCACTGTGCGGCGGGGACCGCGACGAGCCCAGGTCGCCGTTGGCAGCAGCAGCAGCAGCCCCGGCGGCGGCGCGGACCCTGAGTGCCCGGGCGCACCCCAGCTCCCCAGAGCGCGTTACGGCAACAGCACCGGTGTGGCCGCGCGCGCCTTAGGCTCGGCTCCGCGGCTCCGAGACCCCGACTCTCGGCCCAGCCAGCGAGTCCCCAGGCGCCGCCCGAGAGCCCCGGGAGGCAGCGGCCGCGGGCAGCCGGGCCGGGGGGCGGCCACCGCCCGCGCCGGGCATCCTCGGGAACCCCGGAGCGCGGAGGGCGCTGCGCCACCGAGCGGTGCTGGTCCCTGCGGGCCTCCCTGGACCTTCCCCACCTCCTGGGCCCGAGGGACGCGTGCTCAGGCGGGTGGCCGGGCGAAAGGGTGGGAGGGAGCCGCCCCCGCCCGCGCCCCCTCCGCCCCTCACCCCAGCCCCTCCACGCCGGGCCCGGGTGGCGCGGCCTGAAGCGCTGGTGATGGCCAGCCCGCCGCTGCACGGGCCCCCGGGGCCGGCGAGTGGAGACGGCCCCAATCTCAACAACAACAACAACAACAACCACGGCGTGCGCAAGTGCGGCTACCTGCGCAAGCAGAAGCACGGCCACAAGCGCTTCTTCGTGCTCCGCGGGCCCGGCGCGGGCAGCGATGAAGCGACAGCGGGCGGGGGGTCGGCGCCGCAGCCGCCGCGGCTCGAGTACTATGAGAGCGAGAAGAAGTGGCGGAGCAAGGCGGGCGCCCCGAAGCGGGTGATCGCGCTCGACTGCTGCCTGAACATCAACAAGCGCGCCGACGCCAAGCACAAGTACCTGATCGCCCTCTACACCAAGGACGAGTACTTCGCGGTGGCGGCAGAGAACGAGCAGGAGCAGGAGGGCTGGTATCGCGCGCTTACCGACTTGGTCAGCGAGGGCCGGTCGGGCGCCGGCGACGCGCCCCCCAACGCCGCGGCCACCTCCGGGTCCTGCAGCGCCTCTTTGCCGGGTGCCCTGGGCGGCTCGGCCGGCGCTGCCGGGGCCGATGACAGCTACGGGCTGGTGTCTCCCGCCACGGCCGCCTACCGCGAGGTGTGGCAGGTGAACCTGAAGCCCAAGGGTCTGGGCCAGAGCAAGAACCTGACGGGCGTGTACCGCCTGTGCCTGTCGGCGCGCACCATAGGCTTCGTGAAGCTCAACTGCGAGCAGCCGTCGGTGACGCTGCAGCTCATGAACATCCGCCGCTGCGGCCACTCGGACAGCTTCTTCTTCATCGAGGTGGGTCGCTCGGCGGTCACTGGCCCCGGCGAGCTGTGGATGCAGGCTGACGACTCGGTGGTGGCGCAGAACATCCATGAGACCATCCTGGAGGCCATGAAGGCGCTCAAGGAGCTCTTCGAGTTCCGTCCGCGCAGCAAGAGCCAGTCGTCAGGGTCGTCGGCCACGCACCCCATCAGTGTCCCAGGCGCGCGGCGCCACCACCACCTGGTCAACCTGCCCCCCAGTCAGACTGGCCTGGTGCGCCGCTCCCGCACCGACAGTCTGGCCGCCACCCCACCGGCTGCCAAGTGCAGCTCATGTCGAGTGCGCACAGCCAGCGAGGGCGACGGTGGCGCGGCAGCGGGGACCGGGGCTGGGGGCGGCAGGCCGGTGTCGGTGGCCGGGAGCCCCCTGAGCCCCGGGCCGGTGCGCGCGCCCCTGAGCCGCTCGCACACCCTGAGCGGCGGCTGCGGTGGCCGCGGGAGCAAAGTGACGCTGGCACCGGCAGGGGGCGCCCTGCAACACAGCCGCTCCATGTCAATGCCGGTGGCGCACTCGCCTCCGACCGCCACCAGCCCCGGCAGCCTGTCGTCCAGCAGCGGGCACGGCTCGGGCTCCTACCCGCCGCCTCCGGGCCCCCACCCGCACCTGCCGCACCCCCTGCACCACCCTCCAGGCCAGCGGCCCTCCAGCGGCAGTGCCTCAGCCTCCGGCTCCCCCAGCGACCCCGGCTTCATGTCCCTGGACGAGTACGGCTCCAGCCCTGGTGACCTGAGAGCCTTCTGTAGCCACAGGAGCAACACGCCCGAGTCCATTGCGGAGACCCCCCCGGCCAGGGACAGCAGCGGGGGCGAGCTGTATGGGTACATGACCATGGACAGGCCCCTGAGCCACTGTGGCCGCCCCTACCGCAGAGTCTCAGGAGAGGGGGTCCAGGACTTGGACAGAGGGCTGAGGAAGAGGACTTACTCCCTGACCACACCTGCCCGGCAGCGGCCGGTGCCCCAGCCCTCCTCGGCCTCCTTGGATGAATACACCCTGATGCGGGCCACCTTCTCAGGCAGCTCAGGCCGCCTGTGCCCATCGTGCCCCGCATCTTCTCCCAAAGTGACTTACCACCCCTACCCGGAGGACTACGGGGACATCGAGATTGGATCCCACAGGAGCTCCAGTAGTAATCTGGGGGCGGACGACGGCTACATGCCCATGACCCCTGGCGTGGCCCTCATGGGCAGTGGCGGTGGCAGCTGCAAGAGCGACGATTACATGCCCATGAGCCCCACCAGCGTGTCTGCCCCAAAGCAGATCCTGCAGCCCAGGGCGGCCACTGCAGCCTTGCCTCCCACAGGAGCCGCCATGCCAGCGCCCACCTCTGCGGCCAGCAGGACCTTTGCAGGGAACGGCGGCAGCTACAAGACCAGCTCCCCCGCGGAGAGCTCCCCTGAGGACAGTGGGTACATGCGGATGTGGTGTGGTTCCAAGCTGTCCATGGAGAATGCCGACAGCAAGCTGCTTCCCAACGGGGACTACCTCAACATGTCCCCCAGCGACGCGGGCACCTCCGGTACTCCACCCGACTTCTTCTCTGCAGCCTTGCACGCTGGGGGCGAGATGCTCAAAGGCGTCCCTGGCTACTGCTACAGCTCTCTGCCCCGCTCCTACAAGGCCCCATACACCTGTGGCGGGGGCAACGACCAGTATGTGCTCATGAGCGCCCCCGTGGGGCGGATCCTGGAAGAGGAGAGGCTGGAGCCGCAGGCCACCCCAGGGAGCACTCCATCGGCCAGCGCCTTTGGGGCTAGTGGGGGTGGCCACACCCAGCCTCATCACCCAGTAGTGCCTTCGCCCGTCAGGCCGAGTGGCAGCGGCCGCCCAGAGGGCTTCCTGAGCCAGCGCTGTCGGGCCGTGAGGCCCACGCGGCTGTCTCTGGAGGGGCTGCAGACCCTGCCCAGCATGCAGGAGTACCCGCTGCCGCCAGAGCCCAAAAGCCCCGGCGAGTACATCAACATTGACTTTGGCGAGGCGGGAGCCCGCCTGTCGCCGCCTGCCCCCCCGCTGTTGGCGTCGGCGGCCTCGTCCTGCTCGCTGCTGTCTGCTGGCAGCCCAGCCTCGTCCCTGGGCTCCGGCACGCCGGGCACCAGCAGTGACAGCCGGCAGCGCTCCCCGCTCTCTGACTACATGAACCTGGACTTCAGCTCGCCCAAGTCACCCAAGCCGGGCACCCAGAGTGCGGACCCCGTGGGCTCCTTGGACGCCCTCCTCTCCCCCGAGGCCTCTTCTCCATACCCGCCGCTGCCCCCGCGCCCTCCCGCCTCGACAGCGTCCTTGCAGCAGCCGCCGCCCCCGCCACCCCCAGGGGAGCTGTACCGCCTGCCTCCGGCTTCAGCTGTGGCCGCCACCCAGGGCCCTGGCGCTGCCTCGTCGTTGTCCTCCGAGACTGGGGACAATGGTGACTACACCGAGATGGCCTTTGGCGTGGCTGCCACCCCGCCACAACCTATCGCGGCCCCCCCAAAGCCGGAAGGTGCCCGAGTGATCAGCCCTACGTCTGGCGTGAAGAGGCTGAGTCTTATGGATCAGGTGTCGGGGGTCGAGGCTTTCCTGCAGGCCAGCCAGCCCCCAGACCCACACCGGGGCGCCAAGGTCATCCGCGCAGACCCACAAGGGGGCCGCCGCCGCCACAGCTCGGAGACCTTCTCCTCGACTACGACCGTCACCCCCGTGTCCCCATCCTTCGCCCACAACCCTAAGCGCCACAACTCGGCCTCAGTGGAAAACGTCTCTCTCAGGAAAAGCAGCGAGGGCAGTGGCGGCGTCCTTGGTGGGGGCCCAGGAGGCGGCGAAGAGGCACCCATGTCCCCCAGCAAGCTGCAGCCGTCACTCCCGGTGCCCTCTCTCCCACCGCAGGCCCGCCCACGGGCCCCAGCTCAGCCAGGGGGCTTGGTCGGCTGCCCCGGGGGCAGTGGTTCTCCAATGCGCAGAGAGACTTCTGCCGGCTTCCAGAATGGTCTCAACTACATTGCCATCGACGTGAGGGATGAGCCGGGGCTGAGCCAGCCGCAACCGCAGCCAGGAGAGAAGAGTTCCTGGGGGCGGACCCGTAGCCTTGGGGGTCTCATCAGCGCTGTGGGCGGTGGCAGCAGCGGGGTGTGTGGGGGGCCAGGCCCTGGCGCCCTGCCCTCTGCCAACACCTACGCCAGCATTGACTTCTTGTCCCATCACTTGAAGGAGGCCACGATTGTGAAAGGTGAGGCCCTTTGACTCCGAGCCTGGTGGGAAGGAAGGATGAGCGTATTTGGGTTTCACTTGTTTTCCCTTCTTTGGTCCCTTGACCTCAATGCCAACATGTGGCTGAGACTTCTTGTTTTGTTTTGTTTTACTTTTGAGTGCCATGTTCTCCTCCTTCAGAGAAATTGCCAGGAACAGTCAAATAGTCTTTGAGTTGAATGGACTTTGATTTTGCTTAGGCCCAGCCCACTTGTGTCCCATAGCTCTTTCCTCCCCATCTGCGGACACGGCGCAAGTTCTCCCCGTAGGCCAGCCAGAAGCAGGCAGAGACACAGTCCTGGGGAGGGGGTGGTTGGGGACGTTCTGCTCAGGAGGACCTGACTGCTCCCCAGGCCACAGCCACTGCCTTCTCTAGGTGTTCCTGGAGCAGGGCCCCAGCTGATTGTTGCTGGGTCTCCAGGTTTGTAAAAACAGACCTGAAAGTCTTTTAAGAAGTGAGCATCCATTTTGATGACAGCTAAAGGGAACAGTTAACCATTTCAATTTTACACATAAACTGTAGGAGCTTTCCATCAGAGGCATTATTTTTCTCTTAAAGGGATGGAAGGGTGACATGCTTAAACACAGGCTAAACACAGTGGTGGACTTGCACAGACGCGGGAGTCACCTGGGGCTTGGCTAGAACGTAGATGTCTGGCCTATGTTTCCCACACTTTCCCATGCTGGAGCTCTGGGGTGTGGCCCAGAATGTGCATTTCTCTCGAATCCCCACATTATGGGGACGATTCTCTGGGGACCCTGTCCCAGGTGAGAGTCACCTGGGGAGGTTTGAGAAATTACCTATTGGGCCTCACCCCAGATACATCCAAGTAAAACATCAGATGGGCCGAGGCCAGGGACCAGCATGTTTCAGAGTTGCCCAAATGATTTTAATATGCAGCCAAGATTTAGAATCAGTGCTTTAGAGAAAATAAGTGAAAGACAAAAACACTGCTCTTTTCAAGAACAATTGGATATGAGGGTGCCCGGCATTGTTCTTCCCATCCTCATCAAATATCCATGAGGAGAGAGTGATGTGCGTACTTGGCAGCTGGTGGTGCTTTCTGGCCGACTCAAACTTTGAATGGTGTGTGTGGAGTGGGGGGGGGGGGGAGGCAAAAGGGAGTTGTATGTTTGATTTAAGGGAGTTTCTTTAATTTTGTAGCTGTTTCTTTGCATGGTTGCTAGCAGAGTAGAGGCTCTATGGGGACCACAAAACATACAGTAGCAAATAGTGTTATTTGGATGCAGTGCTAGATGCTGGCTGAAGGTGTAAACAGTCTGCAATGGTTATAAGGTGGTGATCGAGGTGGCTTGGAGATTCATGTACGTTTTGTTCTTAAAGTAAACAGACCAGTCTAATGCTATCTAAATCCAGTATGTTTTATAGTATACTTGGGACTGTTGGTCCCCGACATTTAAAATTATAGCTATAGGCTGAATACCCTGTTAGCCTAGGGTAACAGAGGAAAAGCTATTTCTTTTTTTTTTATTAAAACCATAGACTAGAAGATGAAAAGAGAATCATCAGAAGTGTGGTGCTTCAGCATCTAATTAAATCAATTGGAAGTCGTCAGAATATATCCCACCAACAGTGACTCTGGGCTGAAGGTCACTTTGCTTGGAGTTACATTAAACACCATTACTAGAGTGTCAGAGAGTTGAAGGATTAGCTGCTGAATAAGACATGGACCATATAAACACAGCAGCAGAAGTATAAACAAGCAGGGAAAATAAACGGGCACACACACACAAATTTATTTGGTATGCCATAGTGAACATGGAAGTAACTACGTTTTGCCCAAATCTGATTCTAATCGGAAAAGCAACCTGAGAGCATAACACCTTTTTCTGCCTTCAGCGGAGCAGGGTTGCAGACCTGAACTGGGTTGAGGTGGGGCCGGGGAGTGAATTCTGCTGTAGCAGGAAGCATAAGCCCCAGTTACCGCCTACAGGCCTGAAGGGGATCAAAGCCTTTCTGATAAAGTAGATACATTTAGAAACGGGATTGTATATGAGATAATGACCTCAGACAAGTGAAAATTTTGAACTGCAAGAGGTAAGTTTATTTAGAGACCTGATTTAGCTTTTGTTTAAGATTTCCCACCAGTGTAAAATTGCTTTCAGCCTATAGGATTCACGATTCTGAAATCCAAACAGCAGCGTGCATTCTATGGTTACTGAACAAAGATGAGAGATCATTTTGGCTGCTGTTATGTGGGTATTATGGTAAACACCCTTCTAAGAAAGAAAAGAACAATTTTAAATCAAAATACATGACTGTAGTCAGTCCACTGTGCCAACACCACATTTTAAAAAAAGAAATATCTGCCAAGTTGGATTTCTAGTAAACTAAGTTGAACACAGAGAACAGCAGAATAGGAAATACTAGTGCCATCTTAGTCAACATAGCACGAAAATTCTGGTCTGTTGAAACAGAAAGGGAACATTTAGAAACTCGAAATGAACATCCACTTTTATTTAACTCACACATGTACGTAGAAATTTGTTTGTGGTGCCCATAAATAAAGAGTTCACAGTAGGTACGTGTCCTTTGAAAGAATGATTTATAGAAGTCAGACTTGCAAAGCATTCCTTTGAAGATGAAGTAGAGAAGGCACTTTCTGGTCGGCCGGCCTCCCTGCCTGGCTCTTAGAAGTAGCCTGTGTTTCCACACCGGGCTCCTCATGTTCCGCATGGGAAAACTTCATTAGTGATGCTGAAGCTGAGTAATTTGGGCTTACTGGGGTAGTGTTTAGTATTTGCATAAGTGGTAACAGAGAAGAGAAGTTCCAGCAATGTGTGATAGTTGTTTACAGTAGAATTGGGAATGGAGGTTGGGCTTAAAGGCAAGGGCCAATTTAAAAGTGCATCTTAGATGTGTATATTTTACTAGTCCAGGGCAGACTCTAAATTATGCCTCTTATTGGGGGACAGGAGAATGTTACTTACCATGTGTTTTGTGTGAGTGTATGCAGAAAAATCTAACCAATCTGTTAGGGTTTGGTTGTTGTTTTGGGAACTGGAAGTATGTTACTCTCTAAAACTGCTTTTTAAAATTCACTGTATAAAATTTTGTGTCAGTAGTATAGGTGTGTACCATAAAATATGCTATTTTAGTGTTCTTCTTTAGTGGGACTTTCATTCTAAAATTGGTTTATATATTTGTATAAAACAGATTAGATAAGAATTACCCCTGAAAGCATCTGTATTTAAATTTTGTTTCTTTGGTGAAAGAATTATGAGATAAGAGAAATGTTTCCAAAGGAACAATAAAATCACGATTTATGTTTACAAGTATTGCCTTTTGACGTCTTAAAGCAGAGAATTGGCATATTTTTAGGATTCCCCTGCGATTACTTGACAAACCACACAACCTTTATTTTTGCTGTCATCATGCTGCCTTGCTTTCGTTGGCTAACTCATGCCGTAGTGAGACAATATCATGCACTGCTCCTACCCTGTTCGCAGGGACAGACAACGAAGGTGCTAATGAAAACACACGCAGGCTTTCGTGAATGAAAGTCACATGACTTGTTCTATTTCCTTTATTGAAAGAGAAACCTTTACAAAAATAGTACTTCATAGAAGGAAGCATAGTATGTGGAACACTAAACCAGGAATCAGGAAACCAGGTTTCTAGTTGCTGATCTTAATGAGTCATTGTGTGACTATAGGCAAGCGACTTAATCCCTCCTTCTCACTTTCTCTGTCTGTAAAATGGGGTAATTATAATCCTCTCCTTTTGGTGTCACACAGCCACTGCAAGGTGAATGAGATCATAAACATCAAGAGTGTTTTAAGCTCTTCTAAAGGAACGTGCTAATACATCCAGTGATTCTGTTGATACTTATTATTTTGAAACCATGAGTATATACAGGAAAGACAGTGAAGTAAATGGATACTTTTAAATGTCAAAAAGCAACTCAGAGTAGTCTGAAAATGGAGCCCATACCTTCTTAGGAGATGCTCACCTTGACTGCCTCATTGCTAGCGTCACACTCATCTCCAAGAACCGTTGTTTTTTCTCCTCTTTATTTAACTTCAGATTTGTTCATAGATCACTATCAGTTGTAAGGAAGTAGTGTTTTAAATTACATAGTAGAATAACAATTAAGGAGAACAGCATCCTAATCCTGAAACTGTGTTAAGTCTGCACTTTTGATTACCTTTTATGACTTGTTTATGCATTAAGAGATGCTGGCAAGATGAAAATGTATAATTAGAATATGTATTTTTAAAAATTGACTCTTAGTGACGGATGCATTAAAGGAAAGACAGAACCCTTAAACTTTCAGTTGTTTAGTAATCCATTGTTTAGTCTGGGTTTTCATTCTTTGGGGTTGATTTTCTGCAGCACTGCGCTGTGTGGTTGTTGAACAGGATAGCAAAATGTTTGATTCTTTTGTTCTTCCACCCCCAAGAAAGGAATTTTAGTAGACAATTACTGTTTTATTTTCTTTAGAAATATTAGTATTAAAATGAGGCCCTTTTTCTGAAGAGAAGAACTTGCAAAAGTATTACTACCAGCATGGGTATAATAGGTTTTCTGTTAAAATTCCCACTAATGTGTTTTCTTTAGAAGCATAGTTCCAAGAACTAGTTAACTTTTGGTATCAGATTTGGCAAGTGGAAAGGGGTTTTTTGTTTTTGTTTTTGTTTTTTTGGTTTTGGGTTTTTTTTGGTGGGGGGAGCACAGAATCAAGCGTTCCCTTTTCACCTTAGAAACTTAAGGGAGAATGTAACTTGACTCTTTTATCTGCATTGCCAAGTAGAGTGAGCAAAACACTCACTGGAGCAAAGCGCTGTGCTCCGCCCCCGCCCCCAGCCAATTCTTCACTTAGACAACCATAATAGGGGTGGATTCTCTGTCGAATTGCGCTGGTACAGACGTGAGCAGAATGTATATTTCTATACAAGATGGGCAAGGCATTTTAATGTTGGCATTTTAATAAATCAATAAAAATTTCTGAATTTCCA